TTAGATTTCAATGAATCAACATGTTGAGTATGGGTAACTCACAGTGGGACTGAGTAATGAGAGGAAATCACATGCCTCAGCTGAGGAAGACAGGGTAATTCAAGAGATATTCCTCTCTTCTCAAGTCTCTTCTGGATCTGATCTGGCAAAACACTCATTCCCTAGACACTACTGAACAGTCACTCACTAAATCCTCTAAGGTCCCCTCAAAACTACCTTTGGATGGAGGAGACCCAAGTCTTGTGGGGGGGGAAGCAATCATACATTTTGGAATCCTGACATTCCTATAATCAGGGAAGATATGACTTAATAGTAACTCTGGTGAACTTTCTTGCATGAGAATAAGTATCAAGGAATCAAAGAAGAAAAGCAGTTTTGATGAACTATCCAACATAGTAAACCAGGGGTAGGCAACCTTTCCCCTTTAAGGGCCAAGGGACTTCAGCTCCCAGAAGCCTCAAGCCATGTTGGCCAATAGTCTGGGATGTTGGCCAATAGTCTTGGATTCTGGGAGCTGAAGTCCCTTGGCCCTTAAAGGGGACAGTTTGCCTACCCCTGCAAAATGCAGACTGGAAAGGTAGGTGGGATCTTAGTAGAATAAAGTATCCATGCACCTTTAAGTCCCCTGTTGACTGATGGCGACCCCAAGAATTTCCTAGGGTTTCTTAGGCAGGGAATACTCAGGGGTAGGTTGCCCCCTCTGAAATAGAGCCAACAGCACCTGATATTCCCTGGTGGTCACCTTCCAAGTACTAACCAGGCTTGACCTTGCTAAGCTTTCCATGATCAGATGGGATCTGGTGCCTTCATAGCATATAATAATAATAATAATAATAATAATAATAATAATAATAATAGTAAATAATGTTTTATTTATATTTCCCACCTCTCCCTATGGATCGAGGCGGGATTGATAATAAATAATAATAATAAAATTTATTTATACCCCGCCCCTCTGAGTGCAATCGGGGCGGCTAACAAATGTTAAAAATACAGAGTACAATCAAACCCCTATATCCCCCCCACAAATGAATACAATATACAAAATATAAACAATAAAATAATAAAAATCAGAACAATAATTATAGATTAAGAGAATACAATACAATACAATAAAATACAATACAATACAATACAATACAATAGGATAGAATAGGATAGGATAGGATAGGATAGGATAGGATAGGATAGGATAGGATAAAATAAAATAAAATAAAATACCCGGTCATTGTCAGACTCTAAAAATCTGGAAGATCAGATGGATAGGCCTGCCGGAAGAGCTCCATCTTAAGTGCCTTCTTGAAGGCTTCTAGAGTAGTAATAAGACGGATCTCCTCCGGCAGGCTGTTCCACAACTTGGGAGCTGCGGCAGTAAACGATTTTTAGGAAGTCACGGTAAGTCTAGTTTTATGGTGTTCTAATAACTTCTTCCCAGATGTTCTGAGAGTTTAGAACAAGTTCTGAGAGTTTAGGCAAGGTAGAAGCTTTCTGCCTATAACGTGGATTGACAGGGTTGGTCGTTCTAAACTGGTTCTCCCCACTCATGGAAATAAAGCTTCAGAGGGACACTCAAAAGTACACCGCACATGTCAGTTTAAGTATGCTGCAGCAATACAAAAAAGGCAAAGGAACTGTCAAGAAGCACTTTGCATGCTTGGAGGATCCTCTGTGGGATTCCTGGCTGAAGCATCTTGTTTTTTCTCATGCAACAGATAATTAACCCTTTACCACCTAGAGGCCATCAAGCACAACCGCCATCCACAGCAGAGAAAGTAATGGGGATGAGAAGGGAGACCCAAAATAACTTAAGGCTCCACATAAGGAGCCTGCCTAAATATCCTAAAGGCACCAGATCCTGTCTGATATTGGAATCTAAGCAAGGTCAGCCTTGGTTAGTACTTGGATTGGAGACTGTCAATGAATATCAGGTGTTGTAGGCTTGATTTCAAAGAAAGGAACTGGCAAAACCACCTCTAAGTGTTCCTTGCCTTAGAAAACCCTAAGAAATTCATGGGGTTGCCATAAGTCCACAGGCACCTTGATGACACATACACATTTACACCACATAAGGAGGCATATTAACCAGCAAACTAGGGGTAGGTGGGTATAGCAGATATATTCCAGACCTTCAATTCCAAAAGGGGAAAAATCCCACTATTTGACAAAACACCTGGATACAGATACTGTGTCTGAAAATGCTTCCACATTCGGAAAATTCTGTTTCAACAGACTCCTACAACACACTCCCATTCCTAAGAACCTTCCACAACAGTCAATATTTGGGGGAGATGTTCTCTCTCTACTCTACTCTAATCATTTCATGCATTGCCCTATTAATAAGATACAGGATGCAGCAATGGTTTCAATTAAAAGTTACAGCAATTGAAAGTTCTAGGCTTCACTTTTCCATCAGGCTATACTAAAGTTGTTTCTCAATGCTGCTCCTTACCTGTAACATCCATGGGCTTAAAGACTGGCTGTGACTCAAAGTGTTGTCTGTCTTCCATGGTCCATGAGCTATTGCGGTCCAGGAACTCCTTGCAGGACATTTGTTCATTCATGATTTTTCCGGTGGACACTGGAAGGTGAAAGGAAAGCAACAGTGCTGTTATTAATAATCAGGCTGGAATTGTTATTGTTGTATTTGCTTTCAATCTGACTCTGATTCATGGCGACCGTATCCTATCCTAGGATTTTCATGGCAAGATTTCTGCAGAGGAGGATTGCCACCAATGCTTTCCTCTGAAACTGAGAAAGTGTGACTTGCTTAGGATGAGCTGACGGGTTTCCAGGGCTGAGCAGGGATTTGAACCCTGGTCTCCCTGTAGTCCTAGTCCAGGACTCCAACCACTAGACCACAGGCAGGGATGCTGCAGTCAAATTAAGCCCTTGGGTGTATTGGTAAAAAGCTTTTGGCTAGATATGCAAGAGAGAAGGGAATCAGTGGTATTCCTAATTCTTACTCTTCTGAAATCATTCCATCTTTTCCCTAACTCCCTGCTCAAATCCTGAATTCTAGCTAATATTCCTAAGACTTTTCAGGCAGTCTCTTTAAAACATTGTGCTTTTCTTTCAATTTTTTAAGTTGATCAACTGATCTGCCTTCCAAGCCATCCAATTTCTTCTCTGGACATTTTTCTCCACCATTACCAGGTACATCAATATATTTTATTATTTTTTAAAGTATTTTTCTTAATTTAACACCTGAATTTTCTGTCCCAACATCAAAGACACCTGTTCTCTCAGAATCTCTGTTGCTTCCTAATGACAAAATAAAATTACTGAGTTGAAGACTCTGCTTCTCTGTAAAAATTTAGAAATCCAAAGCAGGCCAAAATTTTATCAGCAGTTTTAATTGCTTTCCTCATCTTCCCCTCCATCACCTTCTTTAACCCATGCATTTTATTTTATTTTGGTTTTTGACCACAGGCAGGAAGTATTTATTGCTCATTTTTAAGGCACCTTAAACAGACCCCTAGCAACTTGGTCAGACAGCCTTTAGTTCTACTAGCCAACAGAAATGTATGGAGTGTCTCTGAGCATACATGAAGTGTGTCTTACAACTGAGGAGCTGAAGCCTGGTGGCTATTATCACCAAATTTTGAAACTGGGCTTACGGGGCAGAAAAGATGGCCTCCAACATTCTATTTTTAGAAATTAAACATTGCCAGCATCTTGTTTACAATCAGAGCACATCTTCCTCCTGCCAAATCTTGTAAGTACACTTCACAAATACATTTACACACGCACGCACGCACACAAAGGGATTTCTGGCAGCCTCCCTCCTGTAGCTCACTTAGTTGTTCACAGACTTTACACATCAGCCTAGAGGCAGCAGAAGCTCCAGGGAAGCCAAGGCAGCAGAGAAGAGAGAGGAAAGGCAGGCCTTTCTTTCCTGAAGGAGAATGGCAGAGAAGACAGGCAGAGACTGGGCAAGGGGAGAAAGGGACAAAGTTTTGTAAGGGACGTAGGATGGAGAGCTGAATGGAGGACAGCATTCCCACTGCAAAAAGACTCCTGACATGGCTCCCGGCATTGCCATGCTGCTTAAAGACCTGTCCGTCTTACCTTGGTAAACAATTTGGAACTGCAGGTGGCCTTAAAACTGTGATGTGTCCTAGGATAATAAGCCGCTCCTTCAGCTGTACCACACAACCTCAAGTCACTGTGTCATTGATACAGCCTAACCCTGTAACTGGATTTTCCTGCCCCTTGAGAGGACTCTGCGCTGAAGCTGTTAGCACGGGCACCTCTGCGTACGTGACAGGTAGCCGCCTATGGCCACGGAAATAGGTCTCCGTGCTCTCCAGTGATAGCTCCGGCCAATGACAGAAGGAGGCACGAGCCCCGATTGATCATCATGTAAATGGGCCCAAGAGAAGCAAACAAAGAGGACTGTGTTTGAGGCCTCAGAGTGGGAAACTAGTATGTAAAAAGTTCCACGGCTGACAACAGTTTGCGTTGGGCTCTTGCTTCTGCAGCTGCTTGTCTGCCTCAGTGGAAGAAAGTGACCAAAGGTCAACCACCCCTTCATGCCAGAATCAGACGCTCTGCTTCTCCTGGGACCTATATGGGGGGCTATCCTCTGTGAAGGGCTTGGCAGAAAGGAAAGAGCCTATGACATTCTGAAAGGCCAGAAAATCCCATAAATACATACATACATTCTCATGGTCACTTTGAAAGCAAAATGAGCTCTGAAGATGCTAGCCACAGATGCTGGCGAAACGTCAGAAAGAAACTCTTCTAGAACATGGCCACGCAGCCCGAAAAAACCCACAAAAAAAATTATGGATGCCAGCCATGAAAGCCTACGACTTCACAAAATGAGCTTATTTGATTGTTGGGAAGGGGGACCCCTGAAACTACCCACTTCCACAATTTCATCAGGACCACAAGGCAAATGCAGCAACTTTCTTTACAAACTCTGTCCATGTCCTATTCCTAGGTGGATTATTGAGGAAAGTCCAACTTGACTTCTAAAAGGCTACTGGGATTCAGATTTGGGGCAGAGGTGCTCTTAGGAGCTGTTGCCTTGGAGAGCCTGGCTCTTCTCCCTCAGAAAGGATCCTTGCTTTCTCGCTCGCTCGCTTCTCATGAAGACCCTCAGGCCAGTGTTGGCAGGGCCTTGGTCCGCAAACCACCCTCTTCCCCTTCCTGTAATTGCTCACTGTCACTATGTACCTGGAGGTATCTGAGGAATCTGTCAGAGAGGAATCAGACCAGGAAGAGCCTAAAGCTCAAGAAGAAGTCTCTTCTCCAGAGCCTGGGCAACCAAGAGCAAACACAGGCAATGCAGATTCTCTGGACAAAGCAAAGGAGCTTCATTTATATACCGCTTCATATCGCTATGGGATGTCTAAGCGGTTTACAACTGTAAGCTCATTGCCCCCCAACAGTTGGGTACTCATTTTAGCGACCTCGGAAGGATGCAGGCCTGAGTCTAGCCTGAGCCCTGGCTAGTATTGAACTCGCTACCTTGTGGTCTATGAGTGAGTGGCTGCAGGACAGGCACTGAACCACTGCGCCACCAGGACACAGCAGGTGGACACTGAGGAGAGACCTCATTACTCTGAACAACCACAAAGACAACCAGGAGTAGAGGGCGAGCCATCAGCTCATACACCAGGCGCCAGGCAAGTAGCCTCCTAGGTGTCAAGGGCAGGCAGCTATAAATCCCATTGCAGACAACTGACTTACAACCTGGTGGACTCCCTCTCTTGTGCATTTGGCTTTCTTGAATCCCTGACACCTTGGACTGGCTTGAAGGTATATGACTTCTCTTTCTACTCCCTTGGCTTAGTTCTTCCTGAGTTCTTGTCTCCTATGAATAAACTCTGAAACTGTTTGAGACCTCATAACTACACCTGTACTCCTCTGGTAGGACTATTCAAGCCCTACCAGAACCTGACCTCCCTAGCATTTGTTGCAAAGGGCAAGCACACCTTGCTTGAAGGGTGGGAAAGGAGTTATCCTCAGTGGCTGGGAGGCAGCTTCCACAAGGTGAGGCAAACAAATTGCACCAGTCTGTCAGCCACCTGGAAGCCTCATCCATGCTTTAATGCTTCTGCACTTCTGCTTCTTGAAGAGACCATGCCACTGGTCATGCGTATTCTGGAGAGACCCTTTCTCAAAGTATGGCACTGCCTGCTCCACATCCCATCCCCTAGCTCTTAGTCCACCCTGGGCTAAGGACCCCCCTTTGACACACACGGGCGTGCACACACAACTGCTGTGGTTCAAATGCCTTTGCCCAGCCCATGAACTGACTGTGTCCTGTTCTGGTGTAGCTAACACCTGTTGGCACCTGCCTTGGCTCCAAGGAGACCCTTGCAGCCTCTCCTTCATCCTTCATGGGCCCACCGCAGTGTCTTTGAAAAGACTCTCCCCTGACAAGCACATCAAGGAGCCAGCACATTACTGTCCAAAGAACCCAGAAGGTCTAAGAAGGAGGCTGCCCGGTCTTGCTCACAAGCATCATGGCCAAGTAGAGTTCCTGCCCCAGAGTCCAGGCGATCAAAGTCCAGTTTGCCAGCCACTGCTTGACACTAGCTCCAACTTCAGCAAGATTTCCCATTTTGAGAAGACTAGATGGTCAGGCAGCCCAGTGCTATGCCACAAGGAAGCACCTCCACACACGCACAGACACAGACAGACAGCCCCTTGCACAGGATATTCCATGTGGAAACTCAATTATCACAGAACATGAGCACTTCATTAGAGGTGCTGTTCGTTCCTTCTGTGAGGAGGTTTCCATCAGTGTCAAGGAGTGATTAAAACCAGAAGGGCCAATTAAAATCTGCCTCTAATGTGCTAACAGCTGGGAGGCCTCTTGCCAGTCAGCCACTGTGCACATCTTGTCACTTGCTCCTTTTACCAAATTGGACTTTTCAAGGCAAAAAGAAGACCTGGGAAGGAAAGGACCCCTCAGTTTAAATGCAAATCAGGCATCTGAATTTCTGAAAGAAACAACTGTTTGGCTCTGGTAAGGCACAAATTAAAGACGTACATGCAAATTTAGAAGGTTCCCACTTTCCATGCCAATGACAGGAAAAGTAGGGCCCTCAAGGCGCATGTGGTCCCCATTTTGTGACCCCCCTGAAATACCCCCTGACAATCCCCCACAGCCCCACAACCTTCACCCACTTGTTTTAATTACTTTTGGAGTATTTGTTGGACATTATGACCTGGAAATGGCACAGAAAGCCCCCCAAACAGACAAAAACACCCCTAGCACCATACAAATTTGTCTCCACTCGCTGGCCCAAATACCTGTTTTTGTTGGTGTCCTTCTCAAGATGATGACCCAAAGTGACATAACATCACTTCTTGTTGCCATTTTGGGAAGGATTCCAAGGAAGACAGAGAAGCATTTGGGAACACTACCGTGGGGGGGGGGTGTTCAGCTAGAGAGGGCTGGAGGGAGGAAAGACGCTCCCCCACGTAGTTGCTCACGCCTCCCACTTTAAAAACAAGGTTGACATCAAGTAATGGCTTAACCCTTGAAATGTAAGAATCTGCAGCAAGGTAACCAATCCCAACGTTCAAATAGCTCTTCCTCTTGGCTCAAATTGGTTGGATTTTTAAAAATGTGATGCTGCTGTCTTCCAGGCTGGATTCAAAGCCAGCACACTGTTTGCTTTTCAGCAAGAAAGGCTTTCCCGCTGAAAAGAAACCATTCATCAGTAAGAACCACAGCACACACTGGAATCCAATGGACTGCCTATAAAACTGATGGGCCTTCAACTAGTTTCCACCCGCAAATGTTGGCTCCATTACTGCATCATTCCACAAGACCAGGTTAGATAAAAGAAGAAGCTGCCTTTTCAATGTGGCCACAAGTTCGTACCCGTCACCTTCAGAAAG